CTTCCATCTGACCTCAAAGGTCAACCTCAGGAAGTCAGAGCAGTGATACACTTTGCCCTAAAAATAATAGTCTGCCAAACTATTATTTAACATAACAAATTGTAATTTTAGAAATTGTTATCTTGCCTAAGTATAAGGTGCACAAAGAAGAATTTTGTGCAGGCTTGATTTGAAAACTTTGTATTCTGTTTTTATGTTTATAAATTATGTTTTTTTTTTAAATTTCATATTAGAGTATGAGTTGTTTGTTTTCATTTGCACCTTTCATAATACTCAGGATAAGAGATATGGTGTTCTCTTTTCTCCTTTACCAAAAAAATCCTTTTGATGTTTAATATTTTTTGTATTTATCATGATTTTTTGTGTTTGTATGTTCAGCCAAAAATACAATGAATTGCAAATATTTTCTTTTCTGGAAGTTTAAAAATTTGAATTGAAAATGTGTGATTTTGGAAGGAAACTTTTATTGGGTGATAAAATGCCAGGAGTCAACAGACAACTGGGAAAATTAAGATTTGTTTTTTATTTTTACTTTTCTTGCTCCCAGACATGATTTTTTTTCGTAGAAAATTTTAGTAAGAAATTTGCTTTATCTCCTTATTCTATGTGCAGTGACCCTTCAAGACATAGGCAATCATGGCTCTTCACATTTTTTGTCCTTTGTAGCTTCTTAGCAAATTTTGTCTTTTTGTTATCTCCCCTTAACCTTGCTCTGCCATCCATTTACTCAAGTTGGCAAGTTAGGTTAGGCATTGTTTTTCTTTTGTCCCTTTTACCATCAATCTATCTTGTGAGTATCAAAATTTACAAGCCCTCTTTCCTCATTCACTGCCCTAGAAACTTCAACTATCTCTTCATGATGTTAATTATAAATGTCCTTTTTGTTTCCATTTTCCCCAAAACTTTGTTGTTGCTCACATGTTTGGTCTATGGTATTTTCAACATCCTTTTGTAGAACAACATTTCTGTTGCTTCAAGTATCTTCTTCATCTGTAAGGAAATTATTCAGCATTCACTACTATATAGGAGGACTGATATTATACAAGATTCCTATAGCTTATCAGCATCAATATGAGACATCATAGTGGTGAAATATCTTATCAATTGCTTCAGGACAATCCACTGCATTCATCACTATTTTCTTGAATCGAATCCAGTTCATTGCCTGAGACATTTTACCCAGAATTGCATAAGTTTTTCCAAGTTACACAAAACATAGACAATGTCATTTTCAGATTTAAGAATATTCCTTATTTGCCACTACCTAAATCAGTCTTCTCCAGTCCATTCACCCACTTTTCTTAAATATTCATGAAATTTCCTCCCACCCATTAATTTAAGCTGTGAGCATTTTAGCACAATGTGTTTGTTTTGAATATTTAATAAAAGGTGTGGTCAGAACAAGGATGATCTGGGCAGGCATTTTTAAACAAAAATTATCCTGGTCTGTTTATTTGAAACTTACAGTTATGTTTCCATCTGCTTCCAATATGCCCTGTGATTATAGAATTCTCTAAGCCTTGCTTCCTTTCAAATGATAAAGGTGAGTGGATTTTGTGTTTGTCTTGCATCTTTCAAACTGGAAATGGCGTGGACATTAAGCAAGATTTTCTTCTCCTTCATCTCTAAGAGTTTTAAAATGTATGGCAGTCTTAGAAATATTCACAGACAAAAATGTGAATAGAGTGGAGATATCCCAGGTGGATTTTCCTCCTATAGCCTTTGGTGGCAGTTTGTCTAAGAGGAGAACAATTCTGAATTGAAAACCTCCAACCATGGGTTAAATAGTCTCACCAACCGACAATTAGCCAAGTATGATGAGTATGGATACACTCTTGAAGACATGGTCACTTAGGGAGGGGCTCCTTCCAGAGGAGTGACAAGACCTTGCATTTGGATTTAGATATCAGATTTACCAGTGCTAGGCATATCTTTTGAATATAAGCAGTTTTAAAGTTTGTTATCAAAGTAGGAAAATAAAGTGATTATATTTTTATAACAACATAAGTAATGACAGGAATTGTCAATGTTTGATAGCATGTCTGTAAAATATCTATTACACCATGAAAAAGAGTATTTTTCATTGAGATATTTCATTAGCAGAGCTAATTTATTCTGTTGGCTGCAGCCTGAGGCCCCTCAAGGTTGGTTATCATGTTGATTATAATTTTTTTTCTTTTTACTCTAGTTATGTTGAAATATGTGCTAATTTGATTTGCAGTAAATAGTAAAATAGTGGTATTTCTTGAAGAATATTTTTATTGATAAACAAAAGATAGCTATTCTAGTTTATTTAAAGAATTCACAATAAGTTTACTTGAAGCTAAATAAATGTCACTATCAGGAGTAAAAAAAAATATTCAGGATGGATGATGGCAATGTAGAGGGTTGCTCCATCTGCTAGGGAAGGGGCATAATTTCATTGGCCTAGGGACCTCGAAACGTCATGATACAGACCTGCTCATTAGCCAGTTTGAAGTAGTGAACAAAACAAAATCAGTTCACTTTATAGGTTTATTTGTTTTATTAAGTTTAAAAACACAATTAAAATAAACTCTTCTATCACTTTCCAAAGGATAAAAAAATATCAAAATTCTTCTGAGCAGAAGTTAAAAATAAATGTTACAGAATTATATATGTAATTTCTATAGTTTGTGCTCGTAAAAAAAAACTTTGATGATTTGAAATATTTAGAAAAAGTCTACAATTATTGATATAAACCAATTAAAATTTCTATTCATCATGATAACATCACAATGATAAATAGATTCAAAATAATTTCCAATTAACCATCAAAATTCCATTTAGATTCCTTGCAAATAACTGCATTTGTCTTTGTCATTTACATGAAGACATTTTTGGCCATTATCTATTAATTTAATTGTATTTACCTGATTTTTTTCAGAATTTTTCAAAGAACTCAGACATTATCTTATACTTTGAAGGCAATTAATTATGCAAGATGTATTGCATTATCTCATACATAATAAGATTTTTCTTATTAGATCTACTTAAATGTGTTCACTATCATTTACACAAAAATTTACAAATGACTAATAATCAGTAATATACAAGTAATTGGGGAATATTTTTATCTAATAATAATCTAAGATTTGAGAATGCAAGTATGTGTAGATGTCAAAAATATAAAAAATTATTGTTTCCCATGTAAGTTAGAATTAGTGATCAAAATGACATGGGAGATATTGATCTCTAAAAATCATTTTATTATTTTTGGAAACTGGCAAACTTGGACCTTCATACCTGTAAAAAAAATAGTGTTAACTACCTTAACTCCTTAGTAATGTTTATTGTTTTAGAAAATAATTATTTACAAGAATAATTTTATATTTATAACATTCTAAAAACTAATACAATTAAAATTAATGCAATGCAATATTTATCATTAACCAATTTTTAAAGAAATAAATAGGAAAACAAATGTGAATCAAGTATAAGGAAATCTTTATTATTAACCATTTTATAAAGTTTGAATCAGTTGGCAATTAGCCAATCACCCATTCCAATAAACAATATATTAAATATTGTAAATAAACATTCTAATAAATAAATAGTTTATTAATTTGTTGTCAATTGTCAAGCATTAAGAAAATGTATAAATTCACTTTCATGTGTTTAGGCTTTATTACAATTCTAATCATAGATTTTTAAAACATTAAACATTGCTGAAGAGTGGAGATAGTTAAAATAATAATTTTGATCTCTTAAAATCTTTTTTCATTTCATTTTATTGTTTAAGAAAAAACTCAATTTAAAAAATAACAAACAGTTACAACAAGCAAGCAATATTTTTATGAAATAAAAGCCAGGGATAGATCATTATCTTCACTGGTCACACAGGATAAAATTTTGCAAAAACAATAAACTGCATAGATTAAGAATCGTTTCTGTTAGTTGATAAGTTAAATTAAATTGTTTGATTAATTCCTCTTAGTAACTTATAATTTTTTGTAGATTTTTATACTTGTATGCAATTTTTAAACATAATTTGAAGAAGACTGAAATATTGTTGAACATTGTCAAACATGGTGTATTTTCTTTTTCTTTTCTTAAATCACGTTCTTCTCTAAGTATCATTATTATTAGTAGTAGTAGTAGTAGTAGAAAATATACAAATTTTATGCTGAGTAAAATGTAAAAGAGAGATTAAATTAATTACTAAAAAAAAATTCAACAAAAGAATTTCATATAATTATTAATTTTCAAATGTTTACTGTTTCATATTGTTCAACTAGCTGGATTAGAGCAGTGATAATGCTGCTGGCCATATTTTCTTAAAATAATAATTCTAAATGTGGTTGATGTTAAATTTTTTGAAGTTCAAAGTGAATGACTAAGCAAAGGTATCAAAGTGGTACACAATAGATAAATGTGATATGTCAAACAATGATGTTCAATTTTTTACTTTTATTATGAGTTTTTAAGGAAAATAGCCACCTGTTCTCTTTAAGTAAGTCTAAATTAAGAAAAAGGTTAAAAATTGAAGGCCAAACAAAGATTTGTCTTTAGTTTCTAATCTAAATTACAAACAAACTGTTGAGACATATTTTTTATTTATTTCATGTTTCAAATGTATACTTTTATGCAATTAGACTTATATAGTGATCCTTTTAATGAGAATTAAATTCTCTGTTTCTCTCTGTGTCTCTTTTACTCTCAAAAAAATTAATTTCTCAAAATCTGTTTTCATAGTTTGAAAAAAAGTGATTTTTATTTTTCTTGCTGATAAGAGAATCCTGTTTGTTTGAGCTGACTGGTAGAGAGTGAAACAAAAATAAAGACTTCTTCAGGGAAAGAATAAAAAGGAAAATTGATAAAATATGAAAACATCTTTAAACAGTTGTCTTCAGGAATAAAGAAAAGTAAAAAAAAAAAAAAAAATCCTGTTTCAATTAGCCACTGGAAATCAAAAATTTCATCTTTAGCACTTATTACATTTTTTCAAGTGTTTGCATTTGGAACAGTACACATGACCACACTGCAATTGAAGTACATCATCTGTGGTTTCATGACAATTCACGCAGCATTTTGTATTTTTAATATCCTCTGAATAAGAAAAAAACATGATTATACAGTTAATTATTAACATGAAGAGCAGTTATTTTCACACTTTTAATTATCAAAGTAATTACGTAAATCGTATAAGGAAAATAAGTTTGGTCATGCAGATAAAAAATTTATAGTTGTAGTTATAGAAAATGAGTTCAACAGATATACAAAAATAGAAAGGATGTGTCTTCTCAGTGGACTTATTCAACCTATACAGCAAGGTGATTCTGAGAGAGAAGTCTTACCAGGAGTCATTATTGGCAGCCACAATCTTAACAACATTAGATATGCAGATGACACAGTGTTGATAGTAAATATGGAAAGAAAACTACAAGGACTCCTATAAAAGGTAGTGAAGGAAAGCGAGAAGAAAGGATTAAACATCAACTGCAAGAAAACAGAATGCATGATTGTTAGCAAAAGGATGACCCAAAATGCAGATTACAAATTGGAAATACCAAAATCAAACAAGTAAAAAAATTTAAATATTCCTTAACAGAGTATAGAAATTGTGACACTGAAATCCAAAGGCACATTGGGATAGCCAAAGATTCGTTTCAAAAGCTAAGCAGAGTGTTAAGAAACAGGAAAACTTCACTAGAAAACAAAGAAAATACTTCTGAACTGTTATGTAATGTTTCCTCCCATATGGCAGTAAAAGCTGAATGATTTCTCAAAGAGGTAGAGATGTTGAGGATACCATGGACAGAATATGCAAGCAACGACAAAGTTTTAGAGAAAATGGAAACAAAAAGAAAACATACTTAATATTAGAGAGAGACAGTTGAAATTTCTAGACCATGTAATGAGGTAAAAAAGGCATGGAAAATGTGATATTCACAAGACAGATTGAAAGAAAGAGGGATAGAGGAAAACAACACATGACATACTTAGTGAGCTTGAGTAAATGGATAGTAGAACAAAGTTTTGGAGAAATAGCAAAAAAAATAAAATTTATTAAGTGCTACAAAGGGCATGAAGAGCTATGACTGCCTATGTCCTGAGGGGACATGGCATACGAAAAAGAAGAAACTGTCAGCACGGAAATTATGGTTACAACTAGCTAGCTCAACTGCAAATTGATGAAATCTTACTGCCAGTCTACTATTATACTTGTAGTTGCCTTTCCATATCTGCTATCAACACTGTGTCATTTACATATGTTATTGTGGCTGCCAATAATGAATCCTGGTAGGACTTCTAATTCTCTTAGAATTGCCTCACTGTATAAGTTGAATAAGTCAGGTGAAAAGGCACATCCTTGTCTTATAACTCTTTCTATTTTTGCGTATTTACTGAACTCATTTTTTACTTGTATGCAGACAGTTTGCTGCCAGTATAGATTCTTCTTTATTCTAATATCTTTCCTAAATATATCAAAGTTTATAACTCTCCAAATTTATATTTTCTGTTTGAAACTAAAAGCAAAATATGTCAAATAGGAAACTTACCTGATATATCCAGATTAGGTTTCTTTAGGCCAACACATGCCATTGGGTTAATGTGCCATATTTTGGTGTCAAATTTCACAGAAATATGCTGAGTTTCAATCTGCACAACTTTGCCAGTTTTCCCAATGATCTGTAAAAAGAAAAATGTTGCACTTGAAAAGAAAAATGTAGAACAATTAAGTGATCATAAAAAAGGAAAACCCTTTGCAAATATGACATGGAAGTCCTTCAGTTAGCACAATAGATAATAAAACACAAGTAGGCAGGTGTTGATTGCAATTGTTTACAAAAAGTATTTGACATGTCAAAAATAATTGTTTCTATTTTCATTCTCAATGAAAGACAATATTTTTTTATTTTCATAGTTTATTAATATTTAGAAATATAAGTTAAATAACACCTTAAAATGTATTACCACATATGTCTAGTTAGCACTTTTCCCTAAAAAATTGAAAATAAGTTTTGAAATGGAAATTAGAAGAAACATAATGGTTGAACATCTGGTTCATCTCTACTTAATACCATGAATATTTTTAGTGAAATATATATGTACAGCATTGAATTTTTAATGGATGATATGGGCAACTTAAAAAAAATATTCTATAGAGTTGGCTGTACTATATGGTGCGTATTATACTCAAGGATGTAATTTATTCCGTTTTTATCTTCAGAAACACTGGGTCATCTTATGTCGAAGTTGTATTATGCACAAGAAAATACAATATTGCCACAAAATGGTAATAACAAAATATAATAGCAATAACAATAACTATTTTTTAATTATTATTTTGATATTACTATTTTACAGTAATATGTATTTTTTATCCTCTCTTGTTATGAAGTGTTTCTTTTTATAAATTGCTTTTTAATATATCTACTTTTATTGCCAGTTGGCATGGCAGATAATGGCTCAGTTTGAGAGACCTTTACCTTTCTCATATCTTCATTCCATCCACCATGGTCTTCTTGCAAACTTTTCACCAACTCAATATCTTCAAGCAATTTGACCTCCTCATCACATGCAAATGCCTGAAAGAAAGTTGCTTAAATTAAATTATATTACTATAACAGGAGCAATGTTTAACTTTTGTACATGCAAAAAAATAGTATGTCAAAAGGACAGTCACTCCCTTGACACCACTATTCCTGTATACACTTTTGATTCCTTCGGCAATATTTATCTACAAAATTCTAAAAATATGTGAACTAATTACAATGCAATATTTATTATTTACCTTTTATAAAGATTTATTATCTACCATTCTATAAAGGAGTAAATTTTGACACAGTGGTTTTTTGTGGGCATAAAGGTTAAACATTGCCAATTCTTCTTTGGATTTTATCAAGAATCTCTAAATACATAACAGAAGTGCCAGGCTAGATATGACAGTAATATTCAATGTATGGATGAATGGGGAACTTAAAAATGTATAAGATAGATTCTGTAAAAAAACTGTTTAGCATTACACAGTGAACCAACTTTCTTAGCAGCAGACCTAGCAATTTATTCAATATAATTTTTCTGCTTCCTATCAGTGGAACACATTAGCCTGAGCTGGTGCAATGAGTCACTCACTTGGAGGTTAGCATCAGCCACACTGATGGAAGGCAAAATAGTTATCTCTGATGATTAAAAGATCAGAACTAATGGCATTGCAGACGTTTCTTTGGATTTTGCTGAGAATCTTTTAATTTATGCCTTTAAGTGTTCACTTTGGATGAAGACGGATTTACCTGGCTCTTAGCAGATGTCAAAAAAACTATAAAATGGCAAGTAGCTTACCTAGTGAGACTCTGTAAATGGATAACAGAACAGGAACTGGGAGGTATAGCAAAAAGACAAACATCTCTCAAAGCTACAAAAGATAGGACATTGAAGAGAGCCATGATAGCCCATATCCTGCAGATTCTTCTTTGGATTTTATCATAATCTAGATACATAGCAGAAGCACCAGATCAGGCATGACAGCAATATTTGACACATGAATTTATAGTAGACTTATGAACATTCAAAGATGGATATTGACAAGAAAAATTGTCAGTGAAAAATATGATACATAGTTTCATGTAAACTGTAGATTAGTAGTCTTTTGAAGTTAAGGAATCTTCACAAAATTGTAATGTAGTATGTGATCTCACAGAAGGTTCAAATCAGTTATCTATAATATTAGCAAATCCTCTTAGTATGTATATTATGATGTACAAATAACTGGTGGTTGAAAACAAAGCTGATATCTTGTGGAACATTTTGTTCTATTTTGAATTATGTTGTTCTACTAGAAGGATGCCGAGAATACCATGGACCGAACATGTGAGCAACAATGAAATTTTAGAGGAAATGGAAAAGAAAAGGACACTTATACTTGACATTAGAAAATGGCAGTAGAAATTTCTAGGGTACATAGTGAGGAAAGAGGGCTTGGAAAATTTGATACAGGACATACTAAAAGCAAGAAGGACAGAAGAAAACAATGTGTGACATATCTTATGAGCTTAAATGAATGAACGGCTAAACAGGGTTTAGTAGAGAGAACAAGAAGACAAAATTTAGTAAGAGCTATAAAGGAAAAGGAATTTGTGGTGAGCCATCATCACCTATGTCCTGAGGAGACATGGCATACAGAAGAAGAAACTTTTACTTAAGTATTTACTATATAGATGGGTGGTGGAAAATTTTTCTTTGTGAAAGTGGGTGATGACATAATTCAAGTAAACAAAAAAAAGTTTTTTCTAATTGGTACATTAAAGTTTAAAAGAAATCTGGCACTAGCATATTTAAGAGCACTTTTTCTTTTCTAAAGTAAACAAAGGAGAGAAAATTGTCAAGAGCTATTATTGCCTATGTCCTGAAGGGATATGGCACATAGAAGAAGTTTCAAATATTTTTCAGTTGAAATATTTCAATATAAATTGTAACCCTCATTTGTTGGACATCTCGTCTGACATTTTCCCTTTCTATATATTTACACACACACACGCACACACATAATTGAATCCATCAATAAATCTTATTTTGCCTGAAGAAGTTCCTTTTCAGAATCTGATTAGCTTGATAAGGTAAAACTGGCAGCCGATCTCAAAAATGACATACACTCTATTATTAACTGGGATAAGGGATGGCTTGTTAATTTTAATGCCTCTAAAAGAACTTCTATCAATCCCCTAAAAGACCCCTTTCTCCTTGCAGTCAGCATGGCTGATACTAATCACCTCATGCTTAAATTCTTGGCTAACATGAAGTGGAATGATTATATTGAATTTATTGCAATGTCTGCTGCTTAGAAAGTTGGTTCACTGTATCATGCTAGATAATTTTTCTCTCCTGAATCTATCTTACATATTTATAAATCTGCCATTCACTCATACTTAGAATATTGCTGCTGTATATGGTGTGGTGCTCCTGCTATATATCTAAAAATTCTTGATAAAATCAAAATAATCTGCAATATTATTGGTCCTGACTTAGCATTTTGGCTTCAGTCACTTTCTCACTGCCATAAGGTATCTTCCTTGTGTCTTTTCTATAAATACTTTCATGGTAATAGTTTGGATGAACTCTTTTCTATGGCAACTAGACTTTATGAATCTAAGCATAGTGCAGGGAAATTTGTCCCGACTTTCCTGCATCAAAGGGTTGAGATTAAAAAATTGGGTTGAGGATTAAAAAAATTGCGACAAAATGTGAGGAAATAAACAGCAAGATTAGAGCGAACAAACTCTCTCTTTTAGGCATGTATGAATAAAAAAAAAAAACTGCTCAGTGTGTAACAATACAAGAAGAAAATGTTTATTTACATATACAAAAAAAAAAGGATAAAGGGATAAAAGGACAATTAGGAGAGAAAGAAAGGGAAAAGAGAAAATGTTCATAAATGAAAAAGGCTTGCTCAAAATATTTCTCTGACCACCTAAAAAGTTCTTTAAGTGTGTAGAATTTTGTTAAGGCTTAGATAGAAACACTCATAGTTCTTGTAGAGTAGGGAAATTGTTGGATAGATATAGGAAACTTGCAGTTGAGTGAGTTCATAGGTCGACGAAAGAAGTCCAGTGGGCTTGTCAAAAGGAAGAAGAAGGGATGCATTTGAATTGGTCTTGAATTGTGGACTGACGTTATTTCTTGATTTTTTTTAGTAGGAAGTTCTTCTTTGGTTGAAAGTGGTTCTGTTAATTGGAGCTCCCTATCATCGACCCTCACAGATGATGGGCTGAATTCTCACTGCCAAATAGGCAAAGATTCTCGAAAATTTATGGAGATTTGGTAGGCTCTGAAGAATTGAATTTAATTTTTCCTCCAAAATTGTTGAACAAATTTCTTGGCCCCTTCATTGGTCAGAAAATATATTCTTATCTCTGATAAGAATCAGGGCCCTGGGAGTTGGTTTTGAAGGTAATGAAAACAGGTTAGAGTGAACAAGTTGTTAGGTTTCCCACAGACTTTATGGCACTATGGAAAGAATAATGGTGGTGGAATTCCTTTTTATATTTCCCAGCTCTCTCATTAATCATATATTCTTATCTCTGATAAGAATATATGTTCAACCCTGGTGTGGAATGAAGTTTACGTCTGTAGATTTAGAGGAAGCAGGAAGTAGCAGTTAACTTAAGGAAGTGATATTGGAAACTAAAAGGCCAACCTAAAAGTTAACTTGCCAAAAATACTTAATACAGAGTTTACACTTTTCAATATTTCAGTCAGATGATAGGCATAAGTCCAGAGATCAGGGAGGGTGGTAAGTATCTATCTTAAAAGAGAGAAGTTGTATTAAGAAATGTCAGAAACTATTAACCCTATGCCAATAAATTGGGGTATTAGAAAAACACAAGTTTTTAATTTAAATCTAAAATTAAAAATGAACCTAAAAATAATTAAAAAAAGTATATAGATAAAAGGATGTAAGGGGTTAATGGAAAGAGAGTTAGGGAGATCTTCTAAGTAGAGGAATGTTTATAAATTATAATTAATTAGTTTAAAAGGTTTTAGGGGGGTAGTTGGGGAGTGATTTAGGGTAGCTAAATAAAGCAAAATTTCACTATGGAAATTAAAATTAGTTTTTGGTTTTTATGTTGAATTTGAAGAGTTAGAGGGAATATGAGTCAGGGATGATTTTGGGTAGCTAATTAAGGTAGAACTACATTATGGAAATTTGAATTTGTTTTTATATTGACATTTGAACATGTTGAAGCTTGAATAAGCATGGAATAATAATAATACAACACAAAATGTAAGTAACAAAATGTATTGAAACAATGAAAAAAGGTACACAATATTTACAGTTAGTTTTGGTATATTCTTGGGAAGACTGTTCCTGCAGAATGGGTTGACTAAATTCATTGAGTGGGGCAGAGTCTCTCGATTCGATCTCTTAATCTTCCCTCGTCTTCCGGTACCAACCCATATTTATATGGTCGGTACTCCACTTATGTAAATTAGGTGTATCATACACAACAGAACATTAATTCGTTCCCCTGATTCGATAGTTGGCTTTCATTATTGTGTCTTATTATTTAAATTTTTTGCTTCTAAGCATAAATCACACCTATCTCTGAAACTATTCAGAATTTGTTCAGAACCTATAATTTTCCAAACTATCTGAGGGTTTAAATTTTCATCCTTCAATTCCCTAAATTTCTTTGGAAAAGCTGTTTGGTGTTTAGGTTAGAGAATGTGTGCTTATGGGTATAAAATCTTTGTTTCCATTTCCCCATGGAAATTCCTATGTAAACTTTTTTTATTTTCCATATTTTCCTTGGGGAAATTATCACTTGATATATAACCCTAAGCAATTATCTTTTGATCTACAACTACAGGAGGGTCTAATTCCAGGTTTGCTGTTGATCCCATAGAAATTCCTTAAAATTTGTTTATATATATGTATATATATGTATATATATATAAGGAAATATTTTGTGTGACTCATTTTGTTGTTTAGTTTGTTTATATTGATGTGACTACAGATGTGCATGAATGAGAGATGATGGGATTTTAAATTTCAAAACTATTTTATGTGTTTTGGATATATAATCTGATTTAATTTAGATTCATTTTATTTTTGTTTTCATCACTTTTGTTATTAAATATCTGACACTGATAATAGATCTGCAAAAAATGGTGAAAATCAGCTACAGTAAATATGTGCCCAGATTCTTGGCAGATTTTTTCATCAAGATGAATTTCATCTTAACATCAAGAAACTGATTAGAAAACTGGAAAACATCATTATAAAACTAAATAAAGATCATGTGTCTATATTATTCACATTATATATATTATATATATATATATATATATATATATATATATATATATATATATATATATATATATATATAATATATATATATATATATATATATATATATAAAATGTTTATATATATATATATATATATATATATATATATATATATAACATTTATTTAATATCTTATATATATATAGAATGATGAATAATTAGTCATATTTCTAAATATGAGAAAGATAATTTCATACAAACCTTTGTCAGCATTTCAGGTAAGAAAGAGTATTGTTCATCTTCAAACTTGACATGTACTTTTTCATTTTTCATAGTATTCACAACAATTCCAATTTTCTTAAGCAGCTAAAAAATAAAATATTACTTTCTATTTTACATGTTAAAAATATTTTTAGTTTAAACGTACATAAAAACTGACAAAACGAGATTAAAATATTAATTTTAATTTTTTAATTTGTGATGATGCAGAGAAATAACAAAAGGAAATAGACATCTCAATTTTCAAATAAGAACCATTACTAAATGATATGAATGCTGCAAGAATATTTTATTATGCCAGTTAAAATTTGGTGTCGTTGCTATGAGCAGAAATTGATGTTACTTTTTCAGATACTGAATTTATCAACAGTATTTACATTTGTCGGACTATTGTCCTCATCTTTGTTACCATATTTGTCACAACGTTTCGGCCGTTGTACACTTCGGCCTTCTTCAGGTGGTTGGAATTTCGAACTGAACCCTTTATTTTGATCACTGGGGTAGACTGTTCTAGTTCCACGTGCCATGTTTGATGGATGTCAGTTATCAGTTATCTCCTGCTAATTTTCCCTCTGAAAGTTCTCCACTGCCTAAACCGGGTATTGAACTCACACTCTTTGGGTCTGTCACTGGATCTAACCAACACTTTTATCCATGTGTGTGCCATGTGTCCTTGAGGACATCTGGGTATGAAAACCTGGGTATTATACCAGTGCCTAATTTTTTCAGCAACCTTTTTACCAGAGCTCATATTGCAACTTTGTTATCATTGCTTTTCTCTGGCACTCCTTATTACTGGTTCCCATATTGTATTTATTTCTATGCTTGGTCGGCTCAGGAGATTTTTGTGGCCTAGCATATGTGCTGATTCCTTAAGTTTACAAATTTTCCAATGGTGTTCCCTGTCTATGATCTCAACATGATCCCACAGGGGATGGTGATCTCCCTTCTCTCTCCATATGTAGTCGGCCATGCCTGATTTTTCTACTTCCCCTCGTGTTACAGCTTTCTGGTGTTCTTGAAGCCTTATCTTGAGGGGGCGGCCTGTCTCTCCTTTATATTCCTTTCCGCAGCTGCATGGGATAGCGTACACATGGTCTTTAGTCATGTTCTCCTCTATGGGGGGGGAGTCTCACTTGAGAAAGATATCTGCGAAGTGTTGTCACACTTTTGAAGGTTGTCTTGATGTTATATGGACCGCAGATCCTTTGTATTTTCT